GAGAGACCAAGCACACTCACCACGCACTGGTCATTCTTAAATGTTTTCCCATGAGAAATGAAAGCTTATACACACACAAAGACTTATCATTCAATGCCTTTGCAGCATTATTCATCATAGCACAAGATGGAAACCTCCAGGGTCTAAGAGAAGCCAAGTTGATTTTTAAAAAGTGTCACAGAATAGAAAACTTGCCAGCAACAAGCAGGTTACACTGTTGATTATGTTTCAACATGGATGAGTCTCAGCTTGAGGATGTGGAACCAGCAACAAGCAGGTTACACTGCTGATTATGTTTCAACAAGGATGAGTCTCAGCTTGAGGATGTGGAACCAGCAACAAGCAGGTTACACTGCTGATTATGTTTCAACATGGATGAGTCTCAGCTTGAGGATGGAATAAAAGAAGGCACACAGGGAGCCTATAGTAGATCCTACTTATACACAGCTCTAAAAATGCAAACAACTCTATAGTATCAGGAAACTGACCAACAAAGGAAGGGAGCAGGGAGAGGCAGGAGGGAGGAATTGCAGAGGCACTTTAAGAGACATGCGGAGGTGATGTGCACATGTTCATTATCTTCATTTGGTGATAGCTTCTTGGATGCATGTGTGAATCCAAAGGAATATTTTAAACATTTGTAGCTTCTTATTATATTTTAGTGATATCTCAGAAAAACCTATTAGAAATAAATAATCACAAAGGACTTTGGAACAAAGGAGAGAACTGATGGCAGCTTGGAGATGCTGTGTTGAATGATTTGGTTTTGTTTGTGTGTGGGGGGCTGTTTGTATGAGTTGAGGAGGATTACAGGAAACTACAGAAAAGGAGGCAGTAATTGATGGAATAAAGTCCCCAGAATGACTACATGTTCAGTCCAAGGCCAGATGATGCGCTTGGACTAGAGACAAGAGAACAGGATGTAGAGCTGCATATCTGCATACTGGGCACACCTTCCCTGGACTTTATTTTCCAAATGCTGAAGGGAAAAGTCTTTATTCTCAAGTACCAACATTATTGTAAAGTAAGCTAATCAAATTTTCACAGTGCTTCATGCTCAAAAGTGGTGGACCCCCTTGGGAGCGCTTCTCCCAGGTTCAATGACTCCTGCTAAGTCCAAGTTTTAACTGATAAATCTGTGATACACTACAAAATAAAATTACTTTATTGAACGGTGGATTGTGCAGTTCTCAATATCAAAAGGACTCAGATGCATTCTCTCTCGTATGGGCACATGAGCAGCCCTGAGAGCTATGGGTTTATGTCCGTGGCACAGGTCCTATGTTTATAAAAGTGCAGTCACCTAATTGAAAGGAATATTGTTGGTCTTCACAATTATCATTCAATTACGATCTCTCTCTCTCCTCTCTCTCTCTCTCTCTCTCCCTCCCTCCCTCTCTCCCTCTCCCTTTCTCCCTCTCCCCTCTCATATAGGATTTCTTGCTCACAGTAATTGATAGTTAATTCAGTACTGTTTAAACAACACACAAAGTGGCATTTTAACAAAATCAACCACTCGTCATTTTAGTTTTAAAATAAGGTGTTAACTCTATTTTAGCAGCGTGTCATGTTACCTAGAAAGATTCGGACTTCCAAGGGCATTGATTCAAGCCCACGGTGTACAATCCCAGTCTTGTGAAAATATTTTTCATAGATACTCAACAGGTTTAACGCGACACGCAAATTAGTTTTTAAAAGTCTGATTCATTTCAATCCCAATCCAATGTTAAATGCACATCCTAGGGAGTTCACAGTGCTGCTCTTTTAACTATGGCCACTTTCCCTGTAGTTGCTGGAAAAGCGGCTCTTCCTCAGCCCCCTGAGCAGTGGCTTTTTCAGTGGTGGCCTCTGGGGAGTTTTGAGTCCAAAACTTGCAAGTTAAGACTGAGCCCGGCTGTTTGGGAGAGTGATTGGTCAGACCCAGGAAAGGGTCCGGGGAAGCCGCTCGTGACCTCCATGGAGCCCGGACTCTGGGCGGCCGCTCCCACAGCTACAGAAGCGGGAAAAACGCGCGGCAGCCTCCCTCCCGCAGCGTGGCCACAGCGCAAGGCGCGGAGATGCCCCCCAAGTGTAGGATTCCGGTCCCTACCGGCCCTCGGGCAGAGGGATGCTAATGTCCGTGGCAGGAGGTAGAGATGGTCCCGGGCGCGCCAGTGTCGCGGGACTAGACGGGGAGGAAGGTGAGTGGTTGGATGGCGCCTCGCTCTAGTCGGTTTCAGGCCCCCCCTTCTTCAGCACCGCCGGGGCGGGGAGTTGGGGTGTGGGTGGCTCCCGAAGCTGACTCTCCAGCGACTGTGGCTCCAGCCCCCTCCCCCACAAGGGGCGGGAAGTGATGGGTGGGAGTCACCATGCGTGACTGCCCGAAGCCCCTCCTGCCGCGGCGAGGGAGCTCCATAAAAGGGCAGTGGCGACCCGCTCTGTGCACCGGTCCCTCGGATTCACCCCTCGCCGAGGCGCCCACCACAGAGCACTCGCCGCCCACCCCGCCAAGGTGAGTGTCAGGACAGGTTGGGGCAGGGCGGGAGCTCAGGGACGCAGGTGACCCTGCGGGTGCCCTCACCCTCCGCGGACCCCTGGAGTCCCTAAGCCTGCTCCCCAGCCTCTGCGCACCCCAGTTTGCCTGCTTCACGCCCAGCCCTTCTTTGCGGCTAAATTGCCCTTGCCGCTCTGGTCTAGGTTCCATTTGCCCTTTCCGGGACCCTCCTGGCGGGGCAGTCCCTCTCAGTTATCTTGTGGAGGCTGTGGGGGAGAAGGTGGGACCCCCTACCCCAAGGGCAGCAAGCCATCTCCGGGGTCTGCAGTCGGGAACCCAAGAGGCGCGCGCCACAAGGAGGTTTCTCAAATAGCATCCCTGGTGTCGAGAGCCGGGCGTCCCGTCACCTCGGGATCCGAATGGGGATTGTCCATCCACTGGAACAGTCCTCTTTCGGCTCCCCTTTCAGGTCTCTCTTGTCACACTCCGGGGTCTGGACCATCACTGCACCTGTAGCCACGCAGGTCAAAAGTCACCAAGAGGAAAGTTTTCTCCTCTGAGAGGAGTTGAGGGAAGAGGGGAGAAAAGTAATCATTATTCAAGACAAGGGCAGAACTTCAACTCTGTTTTAAAAGTGTCTGTCTAAACTGATGGGGCCTCCACCCTAACTCTCACCCGGTGACTCCGCGCCCGCCGGCGGGTGAGACTTGGAGAAAATTTGGGCACATAATTTTGGAGCGGAGCACAATGGCCAGGCCAGGGCAGTCGGGGGCTCCGCGAAGTGGCGCCGCCCCAAGCTGGGCGTCCTTCTGGGACAGATTGAGGACAGGAATAGATTGAAGGTAGAGGGTGGTAGCGGGAATTGGGACAGGGGCGGGCAGGGACCGGGCAGGCATCCTCCTTATCCCCATGTCTGAGCTTTCTGTGTCCACAGATGCTAGGTAGCAAGCGAATGGGGCTGTCCGGACTGACCATCGTTCTGTCCCTGCTCGTGTGCTTGGGCGTGCTGGCTGAGGCATACCCCTCCAAGCCGGACAACCCTGGGGAGGACGCGCCTGCAGAGGACATGGCCAGATACTACTCTGCGCTGCGACACTACATCAACCTCATCACCAGGCAGAGGTGGGTGATCTGAGTCTCACACTTTCGGATCCTGGATAGTACGGACCATTTCATTTTCTTCTTTCTGTTCTGTTCCAGGGTAGGATGGTATTGGACACAATTCCAGCTCCCTTGTGCAGGGAGCACACTGCCAAACTGGGTGCATTTTGTTTGTCACTACAGTTAGTCACCAAGTCCTGTTTCTCAGATTCAGGTCCCCTGGGCTGTCTTTTGTTTTAGAGTAGTTGGGGGCCAAACCAGCAACCTCCTTGGGGTACCTTCAAAAGGAGCAGAGGCCAGGCTGAGCAGTGATGTCCCAAGAGCAAACTTGACCTAAAAAAACAACTACCACCAAGGAATACCAACACAGCCCCAATGCCACAAAGGTAGCAGACCTTCCAGCCTGCCTAAGCCAGACTGAGTGTCAGTATTTAGGAAAAGACAAACTGTAGCATGGGTTTCTTTTCTTCTGAATAGTTTCAGCCCCATACTTGAAAATCCCTAGCTGATCTTAAAAAGCCAACTTTTCCCATTATAGCAAATGAGTTCTGAATGAAAGAGCCTGCTTGCCTGCCTTATTAAGAACAAAGCAAATAACAAAGCTTTCACATTAGTCTAGTAACTAGGGGAAAATCTCGGCTTGCATGGGGTCTGAGAAAAGACCAGTTTTAGTCTAAGCGCCCAGAAAGTCAGAGACCTTTGTTTTGTTCTCAGCATCAGATTTAAGCAAAACATCAAATCCAAGGTATTTTACAAATAATATGGAATTTAGTTTCCAAAATTGGTGCATCTTAGTTCTAAATCATTTAACATCACATTTTAATTATTGAGACCCTTAAAAACAAGCCCTTAGAGAATGATAAAAAGCCCTTGGGAGTGTCAATGTTGCTTAGCATGCTTCAGTTATGTGTAGTGAAGTATTGGGGAGAAATTAAACTGTTCACAAGTCAGGGAATGGTTGGATGGGATGCAAAGGGTTGGGGGCTTACACTTCCAAAATAGTTTTCTACTCTTCATTCATCAGAAAGGTATGTGACATTCTGAAAAGAAATTCCAATTTATGTAGAATCGACTAAGTAATACTGGCTCATAATCTTTTGAAATCTGATCATTTTGACTTGCAGAAAGCAGGTTTCTTATCCAGAAAGTTAATGGCTTCAATTTTTTACTTCCTACAGCCTGGGCAGGGGCGGGGGGTGGGGGACAACTTAAAACAATTAAAATGACACTACAATATGTTTTGTTTTTTCAAACTCTGTTATTTAGATATAGTGTAACATGCAGTAGAACTCATTTCCAAAAAGATTGTTGGTATAAAGTGTTGCCACTGTATAAAGTTTTTATGTTTCATAATGTCTTCTTAGGTCTCTCATTTAGTCTTTTCCCCAAAACTTTGATGTGAGTATAACTATCTCCACTTTTCAGAACTTAAAACTAAGGATGTGTCAACAAAGCTTTCTTGGGAATACGGAATTGGAGCCCCCTATTTCGTTTCCTTGGATGTGGTCACTACCATCAACATTCAATATGGTCTCCGTGATTTTTGAGGAAAAAAATTAGGGAAAGTGGCTTGCATGTCATGGGGAGAAATCCAGGGTTGGGTAGGAATGAGCTGGTCCTTAAGGCAGTCTCATCTTGGTAGTAAACGCCTTAGAAACCACTAGAAGTTCCATTGTGCACTCATTGACCTCCCACCAGAGATGCCTACTCATATGCACAAGTGTATGCCTTTGAAATTCCAGTGTCATTTGTGCCTGTTTTATTCAGCATTTATGCTCATCTGAAATCTCTCTCTTCCTTCCTCTATGCAGTGCAGTGTGATTTGTAGTGATTTTCCTGTTGTACCTGTGGTTGGTTCAGGCTTCTGAAGGCTACATTATTTTTTCCACGTTATGAGTCTATCATACCTTGCTTGTATAGTTGCTTAGAACAGTGGTTCTCAGCTGGGGGTGGTTTTATACGCCACAGACGTTGGGCAAAGTCTGGAGACATTATTTTATTGTCACAGATAGAGGTGAGTGCTACTAGCCTCTGGTGTGGAGTGGACAGGAATGCTGTTAAACACCCCAAAACACCCCTGCAATAAAGAATCATCTCCCTCCATGTGTCAGTACTGTCAAGGTTGGGAAGCACAGCCTAGTGTTTCTCCATGCTGGTTGCGTATCAGAATCACCCAGAGAGCTCTTAAAACATAGTGACTTAGGCCTTCACCACTCAACAACTAAATTAGACCCTCTGGGGGAGGCCCTGGGCTTTCAGGTGTTCATCAGACTCTCCAGGTGATTCTAATGGGCAGCCAGGTTTGAGAATCTTTGCCCTAGGATCTCAGTCTTTGGAAGCATTTTAGAGAAGGATAATCCAAAGTAAATTAGAGAAGAAAGAGCAGGGAGCCTTGGGGTCCTGTGTGCCAGCCTATGACCATGCAACTAAATGCTACCACTTTACTGGTAGTCTTGACAGGGAAACTGGGTGGAATAGTTTGACAGTTCATTCACTTAGCGGAACATGATAAAGATGAATGAATCAAGGCTACCCAAGAGTTCAACGATTAGCAAAATCAACTCAAGGACAGAATAAGTATAAGCCACAGCCCGAAGTCTAACAGAACAACCTTGCAAATCAGGGGAGTGATGAGGGTGAGAAGGAAGAGGAGTTGTTTTGTTTCAGCTTCCCGAGTCTCCATAAATGAGCAGTAATAACTCTTTCCAAAACATTTGGATTTAGTTGCACTTGGTAAGTACTTAGAACAGCCCTCTGTCAGCTTTGTTCAGCCATGGTACCTATCTGTTTATCCATGCCCACCAAGCTAACTTTTCATTTGGAATCAAGTGGCTGTTGGTTTCCCACAAGAAAGGAAAAGTAATGTAATTTGCTATAGACTTGTCAAACCCTTTAGCAGTGTCCTGAAGTCTCTAGTACCCTCACAGGTGAATGTAGCCTCAAGGAATGGTAGCGTTGGAAGGGTGGAGCTGTAAAGGTAGAGCTGCAAGGGTGGGGCTGGAAGGACCAAGCGAAGACAACAGCCACTTGCATTTGTGCATCACAGTGCTGCTCTCTGAGTGTCCAGTGTTGCTTCACATGAGCTCTTCACAAAGACTGATTTAAGAAGGCATAAGATTTCAGTTGTTTTTTTAAAAAAATTGCTAATTTTTAAAAAAATATTTAGTTTTTAAAAAATGAGCAAATAGATTCACAAGCACAGGTGGCTCATCTTGAGCATCAAGTATGCTGGCTTTTTCCTAAGATTTTCCAGAATGCCATCGCCTTGTTAAGATTTAAACTGCTATGGATCATCAAAACTATAACAAATCAATTAATTTCGGAAACATTTTAAATCATGTTTCAGTGTTTTTTAAATTTCCTGTCACCTACTTGTAAAAATATATCTATCTACTTATTACTAGTGTAGCATATAAAGGTAAGAATTGTCTAGGAATTTTGAAAAGTTTAAATAATCTGCTATGATTTATGAAGTACTTAAGCACAATGCAATATATACAATTTTTAATTTTAATTTTTAGCACATGTGTATTTATGTGTGTATGATGTATCAGTGTCAGAGCCTGCATGTGGAGGTCAGAGGATGACTTTCCACAGTTCATTCTCTTCATCTTCCTCGGATTCTGGGGATCAAACTCACGTCATCAGGCTTGTATAACCAGCACTTTAACCTTCTGAACAGTCTTACCAGTCCACATATGTAATTCAAATCATATTTATGATAATGTTTCTGATGATATGTGCTTTACACTCCTAGGATAATGATTAGCAAATGAACAACTGAAAATAAAGTTTAGGTTTAATAGGAGCTATCTTTTCTCTGCAGGGTTTTTATGGCTTTCCCAAGCTTACTTTATAAGACTTTACCTTCTTCTTTGTTACAGATATGGCAAGCGATCCAGCCCTGAGACACTGATTTCAGACCTCTTAATGAGAGAAAGCACAGAAAATGTGCCCAGAACTAGGTATGACAAGACTTGGGATGGGGACACTGCTAAGAGTTCAGGAGCCAGGGGAGAGAAGCCAGGGAAAGCTGGTGGGAGTCTGGTGGGGGCACTGGAATTGGAAGCATCCAGAAAAGGGGATGTGGCAGAGATGAGGATTGAGAATGAAATGGGAAAGAACTTGCTTTTCCTGAGTTCTCCCACAAATATTGAAACTTCTGGGGTATAACATTTTCTAATGTATATTACTTGGTGTTCCTTTGAAAATCTTAAATGATGACTTTTAGCTCAGAATTATTCTGTATAGAATGTCATACCTTGTTAGAACTGGGAGAGCACAGAGTTCGGCTCCAACTACAAATTGAAATGACTGATCATTCATTCAAGGATGAACAATCTTTAGTTTGCATACACTAGGTAGTATGCCCAGCTGTCCTTCATGTGTTTGATTCCATTTTTTCTGTTTTACCCAAAGCTGGAGATAAATCAGGTATTCCCTACTACTTTTTTGTTTGAAATATTTTGTTCAACATAGGGATTTATCATATTCAATGAATCACTATTTTGTGACAAATTATCCTTGGGTGCTTATCTGTAGCCTGAGGACTTTCTTATGTACAGATGGATCTTATGACAGGTACCCACCTAAATCTAAGGGTTCACCATTGGGCTAAACTGGTGCCCCCTGGACAAGGAAGGGATACTGCCAAATCTGTCTTCTTCTTATAACCCCAACCCTGCTATAGTGTCCTTGTTTCCTGCCCACACACCACAGTGAGATCTCAATGTACCAGTCCTATCCCATCATCTAGCTAGCTGCCTGAAACCCGTCAAAAACCAAGTTCCCCAGAAGAGGTCACTAGCACACTTGCTCAGGGAGCATAACTGGAGTGTCACTCTTCATGAAGGTTCTCCCTGGACAATCCACGGGTGACTCAGAGCCACCAACCCTCCCTCAGCCCTTACTTAGTTCCCTTATGAAATAACCAGCCAGAAAGGAGGGTATAAGTATGTTGCTGGCAGATTTCTCTGATGTAAACAGTCAGTTGAACTGGAGTAAAATTCCAGTGCCCTTGTCCATGGAGGCAGCAAGAACCAGCAAATGCAAGAAAATGGGTGGGAAATTCACAAGCATTGTTTTTAATAGGAGCAGTTAAGTGCCTTTCCATGTCTCATTGATATGCATGTGACGTTTGCTACATTAAAAGTTTAGGGTAGGCTTTGTATACTTAGGGTTTGGAAAATAACGATCCAACCTACTTAGAACTCTGCTGCTGGCTTTGTTTTGTAGCCTGAAATAACACAGTTAGTGCATGAAATAAAGTTAATTGCACCCTGATTGACAGACTCAATCATGTGCAATTAGAAGGAGACAAAAGTTGATAGCCTTGAAGTTGCCTGTGAGTGCTATTTTATTAAAAAGGGTTCTTTATAGTCTAATAAATAGCATCTCACTACGTAAAAAGGCTTGCTGGAAAACAACGGAAGCATATTCAGAGTTGAATAACACTAACTTTCTTGTTAGAGTTTCATGTGATTCCTGTAGTTTTGATCTTCAAAATACTGTGGAGTTCCTCGGCTCCTTTGATATGCACAGAAACTTTCAAATACTCCCTCTAAGACTCCAGTTCCCAAGAGCAAAAGCTGCTGAGCTGGGTCTTTGCATATTACCTGCCATCCCACATCCTGCCATTCCACATGAGGTTTTGCCACAGTTTCTGATCCTCTTGCATTTCAGAGCTGAGGGTCTCACTCTTGCAAGATCCCCAGGGAAGTCTGGCAGCTTCTCTTACATGATTTGTTTCTTGTGTTTTTACAGGCTTGAAGACCCTTCCATGTGGTGATGGGAAGTGAATGAAACTTGCTCTCTGAAATTTTCCCATTTTCCACCCATATCTCATCTCATCCTGTGAAACTGTCTACCTGTCCTGCTAATGCATGCAGCCACCAGGCTGAGCTGTGCACCATTTCCCTTTGTTGTCATTGTATATACGTGTGTTTAAATAAAGTATCATGCATTCAAAAGTGTATTCTCCTCAGTGAACAGTCCCTTATCACAATAGAGAAAATAGGTTATTCATTAAATTATAATCATCCTCAAATAACAAAATCAGGGCTTGTCCCATCAATATGAAAGCAATGTCCATGAAAGAAAAAGATATGAACAATTGGATTACCAAGTCTTGGGGGATTGGGGGTGCAAAATAAAGAAGTAAAAGAAGTATTTAGAGATACTGATGAAGGCAATCCAACCTGGAGAATTTTTCTGACCTCTCCTCATTTGTATGGAATTAGTAATCTTGTTAACCTAAGCTGTCCATTGGCGGAACTTCTATCTACTGTAGCGGCCTCAAATGGCTTTTGTCATTTTATTTTACTTTAGCAGCCACATGTGGCTAGTGGCTATCATATGATATCCAACAGCTGGAGTCTATACAGGAATTTAGATCCCCCTTTGAATCTGAGTCAGACCACACTAGACAGGATGATTACTGTCTCATACAACATGGGGCATGTTAGCTAAAAAGTTATTCGGCTCCCTCCTCCAAATATCAATTTGCATGGATTTAGTTTAACATTAATGTTATTCAGTCCTTCTGTGCCTCTAAATCCAAGAGAATGAATTTCATCCCACACAAATGCTTTATATTACCTCATAAAGAATATGCAGAAATATTTTATGTAGTATCTTAAAATCACCTGAAATTTTTGAAAATTATGTGGTATCTTAAAATCACTTTTAAAAATCCCCAAGAAAAATGTTTAATGTTAGAGACAAATTCTGAAAAATGGGTCTTTAGGTGATTTTTGTCATTTTGCCAGTATCACAGAAAGTACTTACAAAAACTAAAATAGTTATGGTGTCACTAGGCAGCACAGATAATTTTATAGGACCACTGTCACCTGTGTGGTCCATCACTGACAAAACGGGCACAGGACTGTCCATAATGACTTTGAGAATATGGTATAAACAATATTTTCTGTATATAAATGATTTTACCATTTCCCTAGCCAGTGAAGTCAGTGATGCTACCTACAAAATATAAATCCCTTTGATGAAAGTTGTTCTGTGACTTACAAAAATTCTTTATTTTTATATTTTTATTCCTTTAAATATTGATATATAAGGAAGATGCTTTACAAAATATTTAAAGGTTGAATAAGTCACAATTGACCGTCATGTAACATCAGTGTTCTCTATTAACCTATCATATTCAGAGATTTTGTTGACTGAAGTTAATATAATGCAGAGAAAGTTGACTCTGAGCCATCTGGCATCACAGATATGCTGAGTGTTCATCACCATATATAGAACTCTTGGGTACATGGAGTAGAGAAAATAGAAGTAATATGTATGAGCCCTTGAAAGATAATCCAGGAATTTCATTTTAAATGGAAATTTCAACCTCTTGCCCCACAAAACCTAAGTATTTGGAATGCTTAACACTGAGCAGTCTGCATTTCTCTCATAGCCAGCCTCACGGACATGTCATCTCATCCTACTAGAATGAGGGTGAATATTTACACCCCTCTTGAGTCTTTAGACCAGATCAAATGACTCCCAAACTCTTTGACCAAATTCATGGGGTTTCTGAGTTCTCACTCATTAAATGGTGATAATAATTCTTACTTAACTGTCCACATAAGTCTCTACTGGGATCACTTTTCGAGGTACGATAGAAGTAAGCAATAGAAGGGAGGGAGGGAAGGATGGCCTTTTTGATGAGTTGGATTATCAATCCCTAAAATATAAGAATTGATTTTAAGATATATAATAATGGCAAACATCAAAATTGAAAAACTACATTCTAAAATATTCCTATAATAGTATCCCCAAAGACTCTCAGCCTCAGAGTAGGCTTAAAGGAACTGGATCATCTATCTGACACTGAAAAAAAAATTTTCACTGGAGTTGCAGTGAGAACCATTTAACTTTTATTAATGAGATACCTGTGAGGAACAGAATTAAATTACCAAGTAAATCTATCAGCATGTATTAAGATCTTCCCTGATCCTAGCTCTTGGCTCTGTGTTCTGTGAGGTATAAATTGTGTATACGTTTTATGGATGACATGGTGCTTTTATTTTGATCTCTACAATGCTCATGATACAGTCAAGCAATAATGAGCTCCCCAGTTTTTACAAATGGGGAAACTGAGGCCCAAAGAAAATAAGTGGTCTATCCTACCTCATTCAAGTTAATGAGATGATGACTCTTATACTTGTAAACTTTACCCTACCTGGTGGTATCTTCTAGAATTAATAAATCGAGAGCAGGTTGCATATGATCCAGGGAAGAACATCACTTGAACACATTTAAATTGGAGGATGATGGACAGAAGTAACTGGACAAGAAGTAAAATGGGCAGGCCTAGCTGTAAAAGGCTTAAGAGAGAAGGAGAATGTTATCCATAAGGAACTTGGGAGTGTCGTGAGCAGCTGTGCTCTCCCCAGTTGGGTCAGGACTGGCCTATGGAGGGAAGATTCAGAGGTTTACCTGATAGGATCAGATACAGAATGGCTAGAGGTTAGATTAATAAAGCTTCAAGAACAGACAAAATCAGCAATTCAGTCACAACATTTCTGAGCACCTAGTATGCACTAGCTCTGGGGATACAAGGTTAGTAATGGTGTGTTAGAGAATGCACCATTTAATGAGGGGGACAGATCACAGTACACTGTTGAAGTACAAAGATGGAAGTTAGAAGTTTGGGACTGAGTTAGGAACTAGAATCTTCCCATTCATCATGCTGTCCTTTGCAGTCTCCTGACAAGGGGCCATGCCAAGAAAACTAAGGACAAGTGGAAATAAATGCAGGCAAGCAAGCATCCACTGAATTCAAATGTGGGCTTGGTAGGCTGAGTCAGGGTACCTAAGTGAGGCCTGTACCCCCAGGGTACCCCCGCTTCCAAACTAAACCCAGCCTTCCTGTGCAGTGACAGGAACAAAGAACTGTCTGAGAGCCGCTTCTGAGATTGAATCACCCACCAGCCACATATGGTATAGTTTGCCGCCCCCCAACAAGCCAACACCCCAGAACTGATCTTCCAGCTTCTGCCATAACTGCTTGGGGCCCTTTCTGAGAGCCCTGCTCTGCTGGTGCCAGTTCCTCCTGCTGCAGGGCTGGGTGGCACACTTGGGTGCCACCACACTTGGGAGAGAGAAAAGAAATGCCTCTGTCACACTTCGTCACTTATACCCCCAGGCAGAATATCCTATCACAGGAGCACACCTTTCAAAAGTATGATACAAGCCAGTGAAATGGCTCAGCCTACCACAGCTAAGATAGGATGAAAGAAGAGAAGGACATGTCATCTTTCCAAAAGTGCCCCTACTGTCACTGAAGCAGACTAGCAGGTGTCCTCCCAGGAGAAGGGGACAGGAAAGGAAATGGAGCATGGGGCCAGAAGCCTCTGTGATTCAAGGCTAACACTTAGACATATTTTAGAACTTTCCAAATTTGGTGTACTCAAAACTGGTATTCCCTATTTCGGGGACAGAGATAGCTCCTTTTTCACTAGTAGGAAGTGGGCACCTGGGTCTACCGGAGTGGGGAAGGACACCCACCTTAGGCTGGGGTGAATATAGGAGGCAGGACAGACTTCTGAGGGCAGCTGAGGCTTCAGCTGAAGTTGGAAAACCAACAGCAATATTGCACAGGAAAGTGCCTTGGTTTCTTCTCCCACTGCTGTGACAAAATACATTGACAAAAGCAACTTAAAGGAAAAACGGTTTATTTTAGCTTACAATTCAAAGTACAGTCCTCCATGGCAGGAGAGTCAAGGAGCAGTTGGTCAAATAACATCCACAATCAGGAAGCAGAGAAAGATGAATGCTGGCTCCTGTTCAGCCCCTTTCTCCATTTATGTTTGAGAGTATGTGCATAGCTGAAGGCTATATACAAAAAAAAAAAAAAAAAAAAAAAAAAAAAAAAAAAAGAAAACAAAGACCAAAACTAATTGCCAGACAGTAGAAACCTTACCTTAAGATGTTGGTCAGGGTAGTCCAAGATAACACAGCTATTGCCATAGTCCTTGATTACCTCCCAGAACTTGAAGGTAAGACCCTATTGCTGAAGGCAGGACATACTTCAGACAGAATTTGTAGCAATCGAGCTGGGACTGATCTGGAAGCCTTCTTCCTAAAGACTAGCTTTCATAGTATCAGAGGATACTATGGAAGCTGCAAAGGGAGAAAACTCAATCAATGGTCCAACCCAGCTGTAAAACCTTATAACCATAAGATTGACTGGCACAACAAACTATATTGGTACAGCAGTGGCACTTTTATCTTGGGGGTAATCAACAGCTATCTTATTGGATTTAAAGCCTGCTCAACAGGAGGGAACTCACGGTGATAATATAAACATAGCCAAATACAAGTGGCTGGAGAGACCATAGATCATAGAGAAAAATCTACATCTGTCACATCCCTAGACAAATGTAATTCCTTACTGTATGATAAATATGAGTCCTTATATTTACAGACAAGTATACCTGTTACTGCTCATCAAAGAAGCTTCTTTTGCAACAGATGGACACTATTATAGAGTTCAACAACTCGTCAAAAGCAGAGCATAAAGTGTCTGTGAGATGCCCAGCCCTAAGTGACACATCTGTAATGGAACTTCTATTCCTAAGGTTCAGGGAACATAGTGGAAGGGGAGGGGGCAGAGAGAATACTAATGCACCTCTCAACTCTCACCAGGAAAGCTTCCTCATACAACAGATGGTGATTGACATAGAAAGTCACAACTGGCCAAAATGTAGAGAATAAGACACAACAGCATGCGCATCATCAGATAGGTTTCCTCTATTAAACCTCTGCCACCTAGGGCTCAGGGATCATTGCAGAAGAGAGGGCAGAAAGACAGTGGTAGTGGATGACCTACAAGGAAACAGAATTTTCCAGACAGCTAGAAAATTACTCATATGAACTTACAGCAATGGTGACAGCATGCAGAAGACCCATGCAAGTTCAAACTAGACAAAAATCCAGTATAGAAGGGGGAAATGGAGAAGCCCCA